CTGAAGCTTTCAAGGCCTGATAAGCTTGTATGATGGTTGATACAATCCATCTGCTAATGGTAGATTTAGGAGCCTGACTGTCCTTTCTACATCCGTTATAAAGGACAAAGAGGCCCGGAGATGAACGCCAAGGGGCGGTTCTGTCAATGTAGATTCTGAAGCATCTCACCAAATCCAAGGAGGAAAGATCTCTGTCATCATCATCTACTTGTGGTACTGGATGCAGAGCTGGGAGAACAATTTCCTCGTTAATATGAAAGGTGGAGGTGACCTTAGGCGAAATTCTGGGATAGTACGAAGGACGACCCTGTCCTTATGGAAGACTGTGAAAGACTCCTTGACCGACAGAGTTCCGAGACCCTTTTGCCTGAGGCCAAGGCCACCAGTAAAGCAGTTTTAATGGAGAGGAAATGGAAAGACACTGAATCCAAAGGTTCGAAGGGGTGAGACTTTAGAGCTTGGAGAACCAGAGACAAGTCCCAAGGTGGAGCGAACGGCTTAATCGGAGGTCTGATTTGTAGTACACCTTTAAGAAACCTTGCCATGTCTGACTCAAAGGCCCATTTGTGGATAGGTAAAGCGGACAAGGCAGATATGTGAACCTTCAAAGTGTTGTAGCTCAGACCCTTCTCGAGGCCGGATTGAAGAAAGTCTAAGACATTCCATGTGGAAGGACTCTGGATCGAGACATCCCTCGAGGAAGCCCAGGAAGAGAAAACGTCCCAGATTCTATCGGACGTTTTAGAAGTGGAATGCTTCCTTGCCCTGAACAGGGTGTCTACCACTGCACGAGAGAAAACCTTATTTAACAGCCTTTCCCTTTCAACCTCCATGCCATCAGGTTGAGGGAGGACGGGTCCGGGTGGAGAACAGGACCTTGACACAGAAGGTCTAGGACTCTCGGAAGACTCCAAGGTGGCTCTACACAAAGGCTCTGCAGGAGAGGAAACCAGGGTCTGCGAGGCCAAAATGTGGCTATGAGTATGAGGGAGACGCGAACCATCCTCATTCTCCTTAGAACAGGAAAAATCAGGGGAAAAGCATACCCCTCTCGAAATCGGCAGTTGCTGGAAAGGGCATCCCTCCCCATGGCTAGAGAATGAAGAAACACTCCACCTTCCAGTTCTTTCGTGTCCCAAACAAATTGAGGAAGACCCCATCTGTCCACTTCCATTTGGAACACGTTGTCCGACAAAGACCACTCTCCTGGATCGATTCTGGAACTGCTGAGGAAATCCGCGATCTGATTCTGTTTCCCCAGAAGATGAATTGCTGTGAGGCTTGCCAGGTGTCTTTGAGACCATGACATCAATTGATGCATAAACACCATCATCCTGCGGCTCCTGATGCCACCCTGATGGTTTATGTGGGTCACCACCGCAACATTGTCTGACCGAATTAGCGGAGAGAAATGTTTCAGGGCTTCGAGAACCGCAAAGAGTTCCAGGAGATTGGAAGGCAAGTCATCCGCGGGGAACTTCCACTCCTCCTACACGAAGTTGCATTGACAATGGGCTCCCCAACCCCAATGGCTGGCATCCGTCGTTATCACTATCCACGAAACGTCTCCCTTGGCTAAGGGAGACACTGTCCAGCCACCAAACCAGGGAATTGTGAACAGACAACGAAATCTTGATGGGCTGGAGCAGACTCTTGGAGAATTGGAGGAGGGAGTTTGCTTGAAAGCTCCTCATTCTCCATTGCACCCACCTTGTCGTCGCTGAAGTCACCTTGCATGCCAACATCTCCAAAACCTGTTTCCGTATTCTCAGGATACTCTCTGGGCAGAGTTGAACTGTCCCAGCTGAAGTTTCGAACAGAGCTCCCAGGTATGTCATGGACTGACTCGGGCAGAATTGGCTCTTTTTGACATTGATCCTCCAGCCGTGACGTTGTAGAAACTGAAGGCAAACAGTCGCATGGGTGGACAAAGTATCCATGTTGTCCGCCACAATCAGGATGTCGTCCAGATAATGGAAAATGGATATGCCCTGTTTTCTCAGTTCTGCGATGAGAACAACAAGCACTTTCGAAAAGGTCCTTGGAGCCGTGCTGAGAACAAAGGGCAAGGCCCTGAAATCGAAATGAGCCTCCCCTAGTACAAACCTCAGGTATTTCTTATGCGCCAAGGCTATAGGGATGTGGAAATAGGCATCCAACAAGTCTTCTGACAACATCCACTGATTGGGGAAAACAGCCTTCACAATAGTTTGAAGGTACTCCATCTTGAATCTGCCGATATGCATCTTGAATCTGCGGAAGTATCGATTCAGTCTGTGTAAATTTAGAGTGGGTCTCCACTCTCCTGAGGACTTTTTGTTCAGAAATAGATGTGAATAGAAGTTGTGAGTCTTTTCCGACTCCGGGACTGATACAATGACTCCTTCTTTTTGAAGAGAAGAAGTGAAGACCTGGAGAGCAAGCCGTTTTACTTTGTCTCCCGGCCACTTTGTGATTTGGAAGGAACTGGAAGGAGGGTGTTTGCAAAATTCTAGACGATATCCCCTCCTGATGATATCCAGAACCCAGTTGTCGCTTACGGATTCCTTCCATGCCACACGGAATTCGAGCAAGCGAGCTCCAACACTGCCTGACAGGGTTCTTGGAGGATGCAGAACCTCGGGACTTGCCGCCTCTAGTGTCATGTTGGTCGCTCCTCCAGGATTGATTTCTCCCATATTCCTTACCTGGTCTGTAGGATCTACTATCACGAAACAGGTAATAATCCCTCTTTGCATAAAAGGGACCTTTGGGCCTGTTGTCTTGAGGCAGAAAGGCCTTTTTACCTTCAGCTGCTCGTTTCATACAATCATCCAGATTCTTGACGAAAAACATGTCGCCATGAAAAGGAAGGGAGCAAAAGCTGCCTTTGGAGGAAGCATCAGTAGACCATGATCTGAGCCACAGCGCTCTCCTGGCCAAAACAGAGAGAGCCATATTTCTGGCTAAGGACCTCACCAGATCGACAACAGCCTCAGACGAAAAGTCAACAGCCAATTTCAAATCTTTCAGGCTGTCCAGAATGGAGGGACGGCTCCTGCCATTTTTAATATCCTCCTCCAAACTCTACATCCAAACGTTAAGCGCCCTGGATAATGACATAAGGGCCGCCGCTGGCTGCAGACCAGTACCTGAAACCACATACACTAAGACTGAAATCCATCTTTCTGTCCATAGGGTCTTTGAAGGAACCTGCATCATCAACAGGTAAAGTGGTACGTTTGGCCAATTTAACCACGGCCGCATCTACCTTGGGAGCGGAATCCCACGCTTCAGCGTCAGTGTCCTCAAAAGGATAGATTCTGGAGAATTTTCCTTTTTCAGAGGATTTTTTGTCCGATCTGGACCATTCCTCCTTGATGAAGTCTTTTATAGTCTCATGGATTGGAAAAGTCGCCCTCTTCCTCCTCAGGTCAGAAAAGTAATGACTGGATGTGGAAGGCTCTTCCTTAGAAGATTTCTTCAAACTGAGGGTCTTGCAGACCCTGGATATAAAATGGTCAATTTTAGTAGGTTCCAGGAAATCTGGAGCTAGAAGCACCTCATCCTCAGAAGAAAAACCCAGGTCTCTCAGTGATTCCATAGTCATACACTCCACATCAGAGGCGTCTGGAGAACACTCCGAAGGTTCCAAACACCTTGGTCGCTTGCGGGACTTCCCAGCTTCCTGAATGCCCAGAGCGGCTGCTTGTGAAATATACTGCATTATGTCAGGTGCAGGTTGGATGGAGGACTGCATTTGAGATGGGCCTGCAGCCACAGGCAAGCAAGAAAAATAAAGACGTTTCCCCTCCAGGGCTCTGTTATCACTGGATTCACATTGTGTCCTTTTGGGCGACTTCCCTTTGGATGACACGGAAGCTCTATTCCCCTTAGAACTCCAGAAACAGGGACAGAACAATGTATCAGTGATCCACACTCTTTTAAATACCAGATAAAACAAACCAGAAAAAACATGGCTTACCTAAAAGACTTAAGTTGTGACCTTTTGTGTGATGGGGAAGAATCAGAATCAGAGGAATTTGAGACTTCCATATCCATCTGCAGAACCAAATTCTAGAAAGAATTTCAAATTGAAATTCAGAACAAATTGAAGGATACTACTTTAAAAAATAAAAAGACATTTACCTTAAAGAGAATCAAGCAGGAGATAGGAGGAAGCAATGCAGCATTCGCCAGAACGATTCCCACGAGTGTGTGAACCAGGGGGCTGTTAAATAGGCATCTGATGCCACACACAAAGCCCCTGTGTGAATCAAACGAACGAGCAGACGAACGAGCATGCATGCAAACGCACGCCACCATTCGTGTGAACAAACTAATGTTCGCCAGAATTCAGGCAAAAGGCAACATTTCAGACAAACGGCTAAACCATACGAACTCCAAGTTGAAACAAAAGAAATTACAGGGACTTACCCCTTCAGAATGATGGCGGAAGGGAAGCCAGAGGGAAGCAGAGGGGACCTGAAATATGGAGAAGTCCAGACCTGCAAGGTACACGTCCAGGTCCATATTTACCTGCCCATTGCTACCCCTAGGGTCACTGCAGCATTAGGGAACCAGGCATAACAGCTTGCTATCCTTTGGGTTACAGCAAGTACCAGACCCCCGGTCACTAAAGAGGTTCTCTCCGGGGGGTCACCTTTGTGCAGGGCCGTGTTAGTGGAGACTTCCCAAGGGAGCGAGGCTGTTCTCCCAAGGCACCAGGGGAAAAAATCCCCAGGTAAGCCATAAAAGAAAAATAGTTCCAAGAAAAAACACATGTGCTATAGGGAAAGGACAGGAACAAAAAGACCGAGGGAGGACGGGATAGGAGGTGGTACTTATACATTTATTTTAATAAGTTCCTGTCTAATTAGGGATAGGGAGGAGCTACCCATTGTTGTGCTGCCATGGATATGGCCAGGAAATTCGAAATTTACTGTTCATTTCATTATATTATATAGAATAGATATTTACTGATCCTTTCATTATATGATGCAGATTAAATAACTGCATATTTAGATAATTGAAATATTACCATGAACAACCAAGCGGACTTGCTTTTCCATCATGTCTGGACTGTACAGTACTGAACAGGTATAGGCTCCAATGTCAAATATTGTTACTATGGAAATATATAAGGATACGTCGCCATTTATTGCTCTACTTGTATTTATATAAAACCGTCCATCTGATAAGGTCACTTCATCCTCTAACTTCAAGATTTGTTTTTTCTGAAAATACCAAGACACTACGAGGAACTTGGGATTCACACGAGGTTTGTCCACAGTGAACATGCAGGGAATCAGCGTCTCAGATCCCATTCTAGCTTGATGACTTGAGGGGACATTTACCTCCAGAACTCCACCTGCAGAAATAACAAGCATTGATCTTATAACAATATCGACCTCATGGAATACATAATGGTGTTAATGCTGTGTTCTGTTTGTACACTTGATATTTATTATATAGTAATAACCATTACTTTAACAACATTTCAACATTATTTTCTGCAGGTTAATAAATTATCTGCTATATTTATTCTAAGATCAGCTCATTCCCATTGCCATGCTTTGAAATTATGTTTTTTGTAAAAAAAAGAAAATACTCCAAGCACCATAAACACTGAAAGGATTTTTTTTACTAAAGCGAAAATTCAAAGTGAATTTCAAATTTAAGACCAGAGTAGCTGAAATAAAATTGTTGCTGACCATAGAATGGTCAGCAACAATTTTTTCCCATTTTTTCCCATCAGTTATCTATTTTTTTTGGCTCCATAGGCTGAATTCTGATTCAACAATCAAAACGAACATGTTCATCCATTGTGCGTTTCATCTTGTTTCAGTTACGTTTCTGTGGCCATAGAAGTCTCCAGGTTCCCCGGGCAAACTTTGTCCCTGGGCCTCCTCGAAATCCAATGCATACACAAATACACATGGTTTATTCACTACAGAGTGCATTACAATAAATTAACATCTCAATCTCTCATTTTTAAAAATTCACCATTTTAGTTACAATTTGGTTATTATAGCCTAACGTTTGCTATTATGTTTTCATTTTACTGTTTAGTGAAAAAAACACTAAACCAGATTTGCAGATTTGTCAAACGTGGTAAATCTAGTCTACAATGTGTGTTCAGTAACAATTTTTTTTCTGTATCTGTATGTGTGCATATATTGAGGAGATACATGCATGCTTGAATGAGTAACTTATTTGTGGATGCATTTTGTGGAAGTCTTTGTGGAAGTGTTTGATTGCATTGTGTATATTTTCACCATGCATGTCTGAACGTAGGGGTGTACAGTGTCAAAGTTTGGGAATGCAGGGTTGTGTTTGTGTGGGTAGTGCCAGTATGTTTATATGCAGTTCTATATATTTATAGTCCAGATGTGTATTTGTGTGGCTCAATAATGCATGAATGCAAGAGTGTATTTGTTTGCGGGGTTGGAATACTGGGATGCTTTTGTACGGAGTGTGTGGATGCTGGAAGGAATTTGCATATGTGTGTAAATTCAAATGAATATCTGTGTGCAATATTAATGTGTGCAAATGCAGAGTTTCAGTGAATATTTGTGAGGAGTGTGTGTAAATGCATGAAAGTATTTGTAAGAGTGAGTGAATGCATGTGTGTGTGTGTATTCAGGAGTGTTTTTTACTACATGTCACTTTGTGTGCCCAAATTGCTGCAGTTGAGCAGTATGTGTACCGTAGGGTGTTTTCTGAAGGTCACTGTGTAACTTTTATCTTCTAAGTCTCCACAGTCTCCTACAAACCATCTCTGCTACTATCTCTATCCCATATTTCTATCTATACCAATCTCACCACTTTTAACTCTTCCCTTAACTCTTCCCCTCCATTCTTACTTTAATCTTCTGTTGTCTCACCCTCATATCAGTCTGTGTCCCACGGGGCCATGGCTCTGTGTTACCTATGACTCAAAGATATGATGTACGATCCTATCCTCCACAGCATATGGAGTATGTCTTCCTTATCTAAGGAAGATTTCAGTTGTAGCTGGCAGAGTCACTAATGCAGGGCACTTCATTCCCGGGGACAGAGAATTAAAAAAAAAAAAAAAATATATATATATATATATATATATATATGCAGGCAGCGGTGGAACTAATGTAGAGAGGGCCCTGGTGCAAGAAACTATTTTGGGCCCCCACCAGTGCAAGTGTGGCCAAAATGTATTTGGGGAGCTGGGGATCTTCCATTTGCCCATCCTTACAGGGCCGTATTTGTGAGCAGTGTTTTGGCATTTGAATGTGAGCATGTTGTTGTATAGAGTGTATGTGTGCATGTAGGGGTGTATTTGTATGAACTGTTGCCGTTGGAATTCAGTAGTATACTTGTGTGTAGTGCTTGCTTTTGAATTCAGAGTTGTGTTTGTATGTAGTGTTGACTTTTAAATGCAGGTTTGCTTTTGTGTGTAGTAATGGCGTTGAATGAAGGGGTATTTGTATATAATATGTGTTTTAATACAGGGGTGTGTTTGTATGTAATGTTGGCTTTGAAATGCTCTGAAATGGGGATGTACATTTGTGTGTAGTATTGGTGTTTGAGTGAAGGGGTGTGTTTATATATAATTTTGGAATTTGAATACAAATTAATGTAATATCTGTGTTAGATTTGCTTGGATGTATGCTCATACACACACACACTGCTACATACATACATACTTACACTGATAAACATACACATTAACACATAGATACACATATATAAACACACAGATAAATACACACAAACTCAAATACGCCATGACACATACACACATACACAGATTCACTGTGACATTCTGATATTGGTATGTGTGTTTTTCGGTGATTCCATGCACTGTGAATGTGTCTAAATCCCTTGCTGTTTGAACCCATAACTTTCCTTGCAGGAATTACTTCTCTGGGACCCAGGTTACTAAACCTGCTTAATCAATCGCTAAACTTTGAACTTTTGTTTTGTGCATTTGGATTGCCCTTATATCTTACTGATTAACTGTTAACATCTCCTGGATTATCACCTCCACTCTGTTGGACAGATTAACCCTTTACAAAACCTGCTGTATGTTATTATAATTGGCTCTGGACTAGTATTACTGTGTAATCCTTATGGCATTGATTGATTTAATGATATTGATTGCTGGCTTCTCCCACTGGATATTCTACACTGATCAAACTTTACATTCCTGTTGTATACCAAATTAATTAGAATTTGGAATCCCTCTTTAGAATTCAAGTAATTGTATTTTTTGAAGTGTTTTGTTAAAAGAAGATATTTTATATTAAGTCCGTTTATATTTTTTATTTCTTTAACAGAGTAACACACTCTGTATTAAAAACAACTCTGACATATACGCACCAACACGCACACACACACAGACGTACACACAGATACACATGCACACACCCTGACACACAGATACACACACAGCTTGACACAGATACACACACTGCTACATACACACACAATCTGACATATGAGCGTGAGGGAGCTCACTCCTGCCTCTCTCCTCATGTTGCTTGTGTGTGCCACCTGGTGGTCTCTCACTTCCTCCCACTGCAACCAGCTGATACTACAGGGACCTGAGTGCATGGGCCACCCAATGGGCACCCAAAGCATGGGGGTTCTGAACCAAAAGCACTGGCGGTAGTTCAGCTGACGCAGAACTAGTTTTGGAGATCTGATGATCTCTCTAACTGGTGATAATGTCCTCTGTAACCAGGCCCCTAACTCACACAGGCCTTAAGTCCGTGACCAAAGTGCATGAGGAGTCAGAAGGCCCTAGGAGTCTCTGTAGACAGGGTCGGCGCTACCTGTTAGGCGGACTAGGCAGTCACCTAGGGTGCCCCTTGGGAAGGGGCGTCGCCAGGAGCGCCGGCCCCCCTCATGCTGCAGTTGCCTGAGCGCTCTGTAGAGAGGCCCAGGCGCAGCATGAGGAGAGGGGCTGACAGGAGGGAAGCGCTCAGCGCTCCCTCCTGACACTCCCTCACTGTAGCGTGGCCAGGCCCTGTATGGTCCGCGGGTACAGGGAGCATCTGTCTCCTGTACCCGGCCGGACTAACAGGAAGTGTGCACTCAGTGTTTACTTCCTTTTAGTCCAGCCGGGTACAGGAAACAAAAGCTCCCTGTACCCGCAGACCATACAGGGCTCGGCCACGCTACAACAGAGGTAGGAGGGTGGGGGAATTGACAGGGAGAGGGGGGAGGGAATAAATTGAAAGGGGGGAAACAAATTGAAATGGAAGGTAGGGAATAAACTGAAAGGGGGTGGGGAATAAAGTGACAGGGAGGGTGGGGAGAATAAATTGAAAGGGGGTGAATAAAGACAGGGAGGGTGGGGAGAATAAATTGAAAGGGAGGGTGGGGAGAATAAATTGAAAGGGAGGGTGGGGGGAATAAATTGAAAGGGGAGGGGGTGGGGAATAAATTGAATTGACTGACAGGGAGGGTGGGGGAATAAATTGACAGGGAGGGTGGGAATAAATTGAAAGGGAGGATGGGGGGGAATATATTGACAGGGAGGGTGGGGGGAATAAATTGAAAGGGAGGAGAAAGAAATTGACAGGGTGGGGAATTGATGGGGGAGGGAGAGGAAATGAGAGTGGGGAGGGGAGAAGAGAGGGACAAGCAGGGGAGAAGAGAGTGACAAGTGAAGGGGGGAGAATAGAGGGACAAGGGGGGGGGAGAAGAGAATGACAAGGGAGGGGGGAGAGCTTGATATCCATCACACACACAATGCACCACTTACACACAAAGACAAAGCACCTCTTGCACACAGAAAAACACACAATGCATTGCACACACAGACACACACACACAAGCAATGCAACCCTTACAACACAATGCATCCCTTACACACACAGAAACACACAATGCATTCCTTACACACACTCAATGCACCCCTTACAGATGCACACACTGCATCCCGTGCATACACAGAAACACACTTGGCAGCCCTTACACATACAAACACAGATTCACACAATGCATTCCTTACACACATATCAGGACATCCCCCTACTCCACCTCCTGTGAACAAACTCATTGGTGGAACATGAAGGTGGACCCTGGGACCCAGACCTTGAGCTGTGTAAAGGGCCCCCCAAAAAATGGAGCTGCTTCCCGTTCTCCCAGAACATTGATTTTGTGACCACAGTTACAAACAGCCTCCAGAGAGCCTGTTCTACACCAGACCAGTGGAGCCAGACTGCAGCTAGAGCCCATCATCATCCTCATCTGATGGTAAGTAGGCAATCTAGTATATTATTCGTGGCACTAATCTCTAATTTACCTCACATTAAAGAAACACTATAGTCCCCAGAACCACTTCAGCTTAATGTAGTGGTCCTGGTGTCTATAGCCTGTCCCTGCAGGCCTTTTAATGTAAACACGGCGGCACTGCAGCACTGGTGTTAGTTAACATGGCAAATCATATGGGTGGGGCATTGTGATGTCACATGGGGGGCGGCAAACTTTACTTTTGCCTAGGGTGGCAAAAATCCTTGCACCGGCCCTGTCTGTAGATCCTGTCTAGTGATAGGCGAAGTGAGGAAATGCCTTAATCTCAGAGCCATCAATTGTGATGGCAGCTGGCAATGGACAAAAGTTGACAGTAGACCTCTGTCTAGAGGCCTTTTGTCAACTTCATGTTTTACCATGGGACCATGTAGTCACTGCTTTGTCATATAGATTGCAAATATCAATGTAATTCCAACACAGCCACAGTAGTCTTTTTTTATTATATTGATATATTAGTATTTTTTTTCATTGGAATGAATAAAACTATTTTTGAAACACAAGAATAGATGGTACGGACTATTACTATTGTGTCTAAACCTTTTGTACATATTAACAGGCTATTACGTATCGAATTCCCCTTACACTACACTACACGTTGCATAATCTTGTATATATTGTAGTTATATTTTTGCAAGATTAGTGTTTTACATTCGCTAGTTTAGGGAGTCTTCTTCTTTTCTGAATTTCAACATAGTCAGCATGAGTATTTTATAAAGATTTTATTTTTATGAAATACTCAGAATTGACAGAGCCGCGTTAATCCATATATGATTAAAGAAATTCCAATTTTCAATTTAGTAAATACCCTTGACTGTCTTATTAAAGAAAATATATATCAATTCACATAATCAAAACGTCATTTTCTTTCTTTTTGCATTTTCTCCTCATACATTTAATGTGGTTTCAGTGGATCTTACTTACTGGAATTGCATTTATGTTCTTTAACCTGTTAGTGTACAATGCAGATAATTTATGACCTCCTACAGAAGTACAACAGCAAAGTGTGGTTAATACTGATTTACTTGGTTGTCAAGATTTTGTTTTGTAATGTATTAATGGAAAAAAGTTAAACCTGTCTCTGCTTATTTACTTATATGGGTTGGGCCACATTTGTACTCTGTGCATGATTGCATTGCGAACATTGATGTCAACATTGTAGAGAAGATTGCACGAACACCGCTTTACATTATAGCCCGAGTGTGTGTACACTGCTGTATATCATTTCCTAAGCTGGATGTACACTGCTGTATATTATATCCTAATATGGGTGTACAGAGCTGTATATTATATCCTAAGGTGACTGTACAGAGCTGTATATTATATCATAAGGTGGGTGTACAGAGCTGTATATTATATCTTAAGGTGAGTGTACAGAGCTGTATATTATAGCCTAAGGTGAGTGTACAGAGATGTATATTATATCCTAAGGTGGGTGTATACTGCTGTATATGATATCCTAGGGTGGATGTACACTGCTATATGTTATATCCCAAGGTGGGTGTACAGAGCTGTATATTATATACAGAGGTGGGTGTTCAGAGCTTCATAATATATCCTAGGGTGGGTGTACACTGCTATATGTCATATCCTTGGTGGGTGTATACTGCTGTATATTATATCCTAAGGTGGGTGCACACTGCTGTATATTATAACCTAAGGTGGGTGTATACTGCTGTATGATATCCTAGGGTGGGTGTACATTGCTATATGTTATATAGTTAGGTGGGTGTACACTGCTGTATATTATAACCTAAGGTGGGTTTATTCTGCTGTATATTATATCCTAAGGTGGGTGAACACTGTTCTATATTATATCCTAAGATGGGTGTATACTGCTGTATATGATATGTTAAGGTACGGGTACACTGCATTATATTATATCCTAAGGGGAGTATACAGAGCTGTATGTTACAAAGCACTGTCAATCATAAAGCAACATGCTATGTTTGAATGGCAGGGTATCTCACCCTTTGTATAAAATGCAAATAATTTGTATCTGTATTTTTTATAGCCCGGTTAAAACTTACCCGTCTGGTGCAGCAAAACGAGCAGCAGAAACCTGGTGTATGCCATTTATACAGTGTGTAGTGTCACATACTTCCTACAAATACTTCCTGGAGAAGCTGGTCAAAGGATACTAGTACAAGTGTAGTTTGCAACTGGCACCATATTTTCACTTCTCATGTTTTCTGAAATTTTCACTTCTCATGTTTTCTGAAAGTTTAGTGACATTTAATCCGTTTAACCCCTTAAGGACCAAATGTCTGGAATAAAAGGGAATCATGACATGTAACACGTCATGCGTCCTTAAGGGGTTAATAAAACTATTTAAGTTAATTAATGTAATTTAATACATTTTAATAAAACATTTTTTTTTTAATGATGTATATTGATTTGTTTGAGATAATTAATAGGCACGTAGCCTTGTGAGCTATTTGTATGGTCCACTCTCCTAAGTGGTCAAACGTCATGTCTGTAAGAGCCTCATTTAAAATTTAGAAATATTCAAGAGCCGCAATGACATATAATGGAGTATTTAACATAATTAAATTTTGTCTCATTCCAAATATTGTCACATGTGTCTCACTCCCCCAGCCATCATGTGTTTCACTCCCACAGTCCCCTCCATGTGTTTCACTTCCCCCAGCCCCCATGTGTCTCATTGCCCCGGCCCCCATGTGTCTCATTCCCCCGACCCCCACATGTCTCATTCCCACAGCCCCCTCCATGTGCTTCACTCCACAGCCCCCTCCATGTGTCTCACTCCCACAGTCCTCTCCATGTGTCTCATTCCCCCAGCCCCCATGTGTCTCATTCCCCCAGCCCCCATGTGTCTCATTCCCCCGACCCCCACATGTCTCACTTCACAGCCCCCTCCATGTGTCTCACTCCCACAGTCCTCTCCATGTGTCTCATTCCCCCAGCCCCTCGTGTCTCCCCCCAGCCCCCATTTGTCTTTCCCACCCCCACGTGTCTCATTCCAACAGTCCCCCTCCATGTGTCTCATTCCCCCAGCCCTCCATGTTCTCACTTCCACAGTCCCCCCTCGACGTGCTTCACTTCTACAGTCCCCTCCATGTGTCTCATTACCACAGTCCCCTCCATGTGTCTAATTACCCCCACCCCATGTGTCTCATTCCCCCAGTCCTCCTCCCTGTGTCTCATTCCCACAGCCACCTCCATGTGTCTCATTCCCTCATCCATCGTATATGTTCCTCTAGCCCCTCCATGTCAGAACGGGTGGAGGGAAATGATGATGTGGCAGTAAAACTTGACATAAAATCATTAAGGGTCAGAGAACTAAAAGTGCAGAGTTTAGGGAAATTAAGGAGTACAAAGTACTAAAACTTACAGGAGTAAAGTTTTAAAGCAGAGTAAAGTGTTAATGACAAGATATATGTTAATGGTTCAATAGATTTTAATGACCCTCTGTATTGATTAACACTTGCCTGTCAGTGCCGACTAAACTGTCCAGAGCAGATTTTAAAGTTTTTGTTAATAGAAGGTTTGGAAAGGGGGGGCAGGCTAACTTGCAAGACCCAAATACTGAATATTAAGTATTTTTTATTTAGTATTAATAAAGTTGTCTGAAAGACCATAATTACGGAAAGGAAGGGCTTTCCATAAGTTTTTTTCAGCTCCTTAGTAGATATCTCCTACCCCTTTCCTCCCCCCAGTTATTTTGCCTCTGCAGATTTACAGTCGGTCACTCAGCAACTGTGGGCCCTGAAGTTTTGGCGGCTCATAGCGACTCCTGCGACTGTGGTAGTTATGCCACAGTCTATATGTGTGTTTCTTCATGTGTGTGAGTGTGTTTACGTGTTGGGGTACCTGTTTGTGTTGTGCTTATGAGCAGACTATGTGTGAGGGTGTGACTGTGTGTGTCTGTGTGCATGGTGGGGACAGTGCCTGTGAGGGAGTGACTGTTTGTATGAGGATGACCTATGGAGGAAAATAAAATTTAATATAAAAATTTTTTAGATAAGGGATTTAATGATGGAATTTTAAACAAGAAGGAATATGAGTTTTTAAATGTAAAATTCCCGAAAATACACGTAATTTCTATTTTATCGAAAATACACTAAAATGATGAGAATCCCAAGAATTGGATCTCTTTTATCCCCATTATTTTAATTACCCGGACATAAATTGGGACAGAGGGACTAGTAGCTCAGCAAAGGGAATTAGGTTTTTAAACTTGTTAAATTACACCTTCATGTCACAACTTGTACAAGCACCAACTAGAATGGACGCTTGTCTGGACCTGGTTTTAACAAACAACGTTGATCTTTTGACCAACATTCAAGTAGGTGAGCACTTGGAAATAGTGATCACAGTATAGTGTCCTTTGAAATAAACTAAAAAAAAACAAAAGCACATGGGGAATACTAAAACATATAATTTTAAAAAGGCCAATTTCAATAAGTTAAGGGCAGCTTTAGAATATATTGACTGGCATAAACCCTTTAGTGAAAAGAACACTGAGGATAAATGGAACATCTTCCAACAAATATTAGAAAGGTACATTTCTCAGTATGTACCATTGGGTAATAAATATAAAATAAACAAATTAAAACCAATGTGGCTTAGTAGAGAAGTAAAACAAGAGATTACAACTAAGAAAAGGGCATTTAAAGCATTAAATCTGACAAATCAGATGCATCTTATAAAAGATATAAGGAAGCCAATAATGCGTTCAAAAAGGCGATTAGATTTGCTAAACTTCAAAATGAAAAAATGATAGCTAAAGAGAGCAAAACCAACCGCAAAGCATTTTTTCAAGTACATAAATAAAAAAAATGAAAATGTAGGTACACTAAAAAATGATTTTAAATTTTTTCAAATTTCTTTCCAGAGTAGCTAAACTAGCAGTCTAATAGAATATGTCTATCATACTCACAAATGCTCACATACCTTACTCTACGTATGGATCCTAATAATTTATTAAAAAACAATACAAACCTTAGCATGACTACTTTAAATAATTAAAAATAAAATACTCAGAACATGACTTGTTGTTTGATGCAGTGCACTGATTTTATCAGCAGCTTGATTTAAAAAAGAGAAATAAAATAGGTGTGGGCTGCTAAGTATTCAATGTAATTTCACATAATTTAACATTTTAAAACTTTTTTGTATATCTAATTTATATTGAAAGTTATTTACAAGCACTGTTCATGCACACACATACACACACAAACACTCTGAAGCACAGACACACTGAAACACAGACACACACATACTGATATATACAGAAACACAGTGGCTGTGTGTCTTTCTGACTGGCAGGGTTATTCACTAAAGGGAGAATTTAAACTGAATTTCAAATTTAAGGCCAGAGTAGCTGTCCTGAAAGCATAGCTGACTTAGACATTTATTTTTTCAGTTTTACTTATTTGACCTTAAATTTGAAATGTAATCTAAATTCTCACTTTAGTAGAAAACCTTTGTGTGTCTGGCATGTGCCCGAGAGTGTGTCTATGAGTGTACATATGTATCACAATGTAATAGTATATGCTGTGTGTATACTGTGCTTCACACATATTTTAAGATAAATCACGTCTGCAGGCTGTGAGATAAAGAAAGCCAGTTAAAGCTATCTTACATTTTAATAAATAAAAACAATGTCATTATAAAGAGAAATCCGTAGAATAAAAAAAAAAAAAACGTAGATACATTTAATTATGTAATTTTCCATTTTGGTATATATATATATATATATATATATATAAACAGTCTGCAAAAGCTGCAAATCTTTTGTCCTCCCCTTCTAGCCCCGCCCAGACTTTCTGTGGCTGTCCAATCACAGACTTCCCAATGCAGCTCAATGAGAAGTCTTTGTAAGGCAGGTGCTCTGGGCAATTGCTGCCTTTTGAGTTTAACGTCACTGAGCTAACCAAACCAGGAAACATGAGGACCATTCAGCAAAAAATAGTTTTTGTAGATTTGTCTTTATGACGTGACTCACGTAATTTCTCTGACCAATCCAAATAGAACACATTTAGCTATGGAGACACGAGTAAACAAGGGGAGTAAAGCAGAACCTGTATTATAAAACTGCAGCTAGTTAGTGTACCAGGCTGCATACCTACATTTACTCTCCAAATCCCCCTTTTAATTTGTAAGCAGCGACTATTTTGCTGGTGCACACCTGCAAAATGCAGAATAAATAAAATATTTCATGGCTTAGTGTGATAAGAGTTACAGTTCAACAAATGCAGAATGTTAGATATTATTTACACAAGGATTTATGAAAACCATAACTTGCTCATGAGGACCAACGGTTCAGAAAAAAAAAAGAAAAAAAATAGTTTAGAAAAGAAATAATGTAAGCTTCTACTATTAACAGCCAGAACGTGGCGAAGGCCAATTAGTTCATCAGGTTTTCAACCTTGTCACCATTTTTTATCGTCCAACAACCAGTGACACTTGTAAAGAGTCTGACTAGTCGAAGAATAGCCACCCGCTGGTAAAGCACAGAATCACACGCAGTGTAAGTCCTCACTATAACAACCACAACCTGCCGGTAAAATAGGCTCACCCTGAGCATGTGTACTTCACCATGTGATAGGCTGTAGCAGGAGATAGTGACAGTGTCTATACAATGTTATAAACAGGGATTCTGTGCTATATCAGGTAGAAGATATCTATGATAAATACTTTGAGGTGAATTTCTGCTGTGGGGGTTGTTTATTTAAATGAAACATGCAATTTACTGGTAGAAAGGATAATTGTTTTTTGTTTTTTTTGTCTGACTTTTTCCTTATTGTTAATGATTATGCTTTAATACGTTTTGATGTGTGTTTTATGGTTCCTGTGAAATGTCATATAGCTAATACGTATTTTTCCCATATAGGATCTTTAGTGACTCTGTTAATTTATTTGTACCAGGACAGGGGGTAGTGTTACATTTTGAGATGTAGCGACATTAAATAGTAATCAGACAGTCATAAAACAGTCACTGTGTAGCAGTTAGCAGCTCCCATTGAAATACTGGGAGACATTAGCCATTACTTAGTGTCAGTCTGTAAAGCACTGTCACCATTGGGAAAATGTTGCCATCGATAAACAGTTCTTTTAGTTTTGTATTATCATCAATATAGGATTCAGCACCACCTAGAGGTTCATTAGCAATTTTACAAAGTTAATATTTACAGTATTTATATCCTCAAAATGTGTTGAATGAGCAGCAATACTATAGTCTTCTCGAGAAGAAACATTGCTTATATTCATAGTAGGGGTTACATAAACACACATTATTTAATTTATTTTAGGAATATTTTAAAAGATATTCAGCAGCAGTACTATTACTATTCAAATTTTAAATGTGAATCGTTTCAAAAGAACTAAATTTGTTTTAAGAAAAGGATTTCCTTTTCCATGAGACAAGCTCTTTTAAAAGTAAATCAGTGCTGCAGTGCTTACAACGAAACATTAGGAATGTGAGTAAAAGCGGATTATGGTTTGAATATTTTCACAATATACCTGGGCAGCAATGAGACGTGTACAAAACTGTCTACTAGTCTGGGAGTGGGATATAGGCCTATTTGAGCTATCTGACCTCTCCTTTTGTTTAATGGAAAATAAATATTTTTAGTAAAAATAATAATAAATAGAAAAGCTGCAATTTCTGGGGAAATTGTGTGGTGTTCTTGCCTCCACCAGTAGTCTACAACTGGAGTGGGCAGTGTAACTGGGTGGAGTGGTTTGAGTAACTGTTGTGTGGTTGGAGTGGCTGGAGTAACTGTGGGAAGGTTGGACTGGGCAGAGTAACTTTATGAAACATTAATTAGCTGTATTGTTGTAACATTGTATGTTACTGTTTTTCTGTTACAGGTATAACGAATTGACTAACATGGAAATATATTTATTAAATGTCATAGTGCTCACTTTTGTGTTATCAAAACTGTAGGAATGACAGCAGTTTAGAGAATGTGTTTCATCTAGCAGCCTCTGTGTTCCGGAACACTCTGCTGGCTGCTCACATACCTGGCTTCCTATGGCTTCCAACTCACTCTACAGCAAGGGCAGAGAAGAGCGGTTAAAAACACACTGCTCCAAATTGCTCACTTCACTGGCAGTTGCCATCTTTAAACGGTCGTAGTTTTAAAAACTCTAAATCCTACAGTGAAGAGCTTTATATTGTGAGAATCACAAGACCCAGAGCTACATTTTGATGCACAGTATGTCTCTGAAATATTAAAAATGAAGGCACAGTCGCAGTTTAGAAATTGCCCTTCAAATCCGAGGTGGCTAGAGTGGAGTTTCAATGAATGTCAATGGACAGCATGAGTTGCAAACAAATGGTCATATTGTGAAAACTATCACGACTATGGCTTAGCCATGGACATTTTTAGTGGCAGCAGGGATAGCTGAACGTTTTGTTATTAGATTTGTGTAGGTGGGCTTGAAAATGAGGGAGTGGTGACAGTTTAGAAATCATTTTTCAGCTCACACTCTAGCTGATTTTTCAGTTCACACTCTAGCTTTTGTCAGCTCCCACTCTAGTTTTGAACATTCCGCCATTCATTCCTATGGGACCAATTTCACCACAAAAACGACAATATTTCGTGAACCATTCGGCAAAACTTTCCACAAAGTAATAGCAAACCGATCGGGAACAATTTCGGTATATTACTGTCTATGTAGTGTAAAAACTGTGGGAGGGGTTAGGGTGGTAAATTTGCCTATTATAAGAATAATAATAATATATGTGAGATAACAGTAAGTGGTCTTGCCATGCAAGAACACTTAAATATAAAGCAATGGACTGGCAGCCTATGAGGGTTTGAGATAGGCGGATATACTATTGAGGTAGTCAGACTTAAATAACACAATTGGTTTTTTTCTTCCAGACTCTATATAAATGTAATTCTATGTCTTTTTTTTGGACTGATTCCCTGTATCAGATATTAGGGAGCACATTGCTCCATCTTTGTGTCTCCATCTGTCCATCGCAACTTTGAGATGTCACTGTGTGGATACATGTTACTGAGAGAACATTGTATAGCCTAGTCCAGGGGTGCGCAACCTTTTGCACTCCACACGCTGTGGACTACATCGCCATTGATGCTTTCACAGCATTATATCTCTAGCAGCATTATGGGAGATGTAGTCCACAACAGCTGGAGTGCAGAAGGTTGCCTACCCCTGGTCTAGTCAGTGACTCTTCAGGTTGTTGTTTTTTGAGTAAGAGTAATGGGATTTGCTTGGTGACCATTTAGTAATTACAAACTGCAACTGGAGAGCAATTACATATGATACATATTATAATAAATTCTATAAATGTTACTGGACTCTTCCTATATTCAGTGAGATGTCTATTACCCAGGAGTAGGCAGTACTGTTACAATAAACCTTATATCGAAGGCAGTTGTTTGCATCCTGATGAATATGGTGTGACTGATCCAACCAGTACAGAACCACTGCAAATGCATGGAACCTGGTTCTATTCCTGACTCTGGGATTGAGAGCAGCTGGTCTATTACCTGACCTGTTCTCCCATGGACATACAGTCTGAAATTTCCATTGCATTTGTATTACTCAGGACAAACCAGTGAATGGTTACTATTCCCATAACTGTGAAATAATTAACTCTGGTGTCTGTTCTCCACCTTTGCCTGTTTCGGGTTTAGAAGCTGGTAATTTAACAGATGCAGTTTTCAATTTTTCCTCAAAAATATATTCCATTTACTCTCGATTGATCCTCCATTGTCATGTATTGGTTTCCAGCTTGTGAAATTGCTTTCTCTTTAGTTGTTGGGCTTCTCCAACATACGAAGGACTTCAGTACTGGATCTGTTTTGGGATGTTCATTAGGTGTCTCCACTCCATTCGCTACCATCTCTCTATTTGTTCTCCCTCATCCACCATCATCTGATTAGAATCATTGTGGTCTGTCTAGACCTCACTTGAGGTATAGTGATCTGTCTTTATCTGATATTTGTTTTCAGTGGTAAGTTTTTGTGATTTCTCTAATACTTCTTTCTTTATATTTCTTACTGGAAATCGGGTCCCTGTGTTGAAAGCGTTTCCATATGTTTTCTTTTCTGCAGAAGGTATTTTTGCTGATTCTGAGGGCCTCATTCCTGTATCTTCTGCAACTGTTTGTGCATGTTTATCTGTACATAGTGAAACAAAGAATTAGCACAATCATTTGAGCATTAAGCTTAGAAACTAGTCTCTCCAAATCACAAGACATGCAAGATTTAAACATATGCATGTGCTCCTTTTCAAACTAATGAGAAAAATATGACAAATTCTTTATTTGTCTATATTTGAATAACTAATCACCGAGTAACAATATTTCTAGATAAATAAAATTGATTTATTAGCCATCACTTAATTATCTCTGTGTGTAATGGCTAGACCCATTTTTCACTATATGGAGTCCTGAAGGAGAAATGCCCCCACAATGCCCCCTTGCCAAGCAGCCAACAATGCCACATATACTCAGCAATCACTAAATGTCTCACCAGTGGAGGTGCAGACCAAACACTCTTCCACTGAAAGACCAGGGAGTTCAACCTCCACTGGACCACCACAAACCTCCCAACATCTTAAAAGAACTAAGAGGGATTCTTCAATGTTATGGGTCTGAGTAAAGTATGGCCAGGGGCGGAGCTGGGAAATTTAAGGCAATTTACTGATAACAATTTATTTAACTAAAATGTAGTTTAGAAAAAGAACAGTGATTTCTAAACACATTTATTGTAGTTTAAAGTCACATTACTGGGAGTATTATTGCTGAGAAGTTCTGTTATACACTCCGACAATATGGAGCTCCTAGAAAAGAGGAACATTAAAATAGAAAAGAAGGACAGAGGGATATAGACTGTCCCATCTAAATAGGGACACTTGGGAGGGGTATGCCACCAGGACTCTAGCTGGCCCCTGTGCGATCATAGCCCCTCTCCCTGTAGAAAGGTAAGCAAAACGGTAACAAAACACAAAGCACTACACACAACATACACAGCCAACCAGCATAAACACGCACATTACACACAGCCAGTGCACACATCACATGCAGCCGACACATTATGGGGATGGAGGGGGGGGCAGTGGTAGAAACACTGTGGGGTATAGAATGATTACTGTCTCCAGAGCTCTAAATGTAAGCCCCAATCGGACAGCCGGCTGGATGAGTCCAGCAGTGAGTGGGGATTTTTCAGACACATTATTAACCAAAATTTAATTTCTGGGCTCTCTCCTACGGTCATCATGTAATAAGAAGTAGATATTTCTAACAACCAGGAGGAAGCCCTTGTTATATGAGGGGAGATAAAGTAGCGTAAGCTAGTAAGGCATGAGTGATGAACTGGCATTGAGGGAGAAATTAAAACACATGGGAAGACAAAGATTTAAATAGGAGGAGATAAAGATATAGACAGGATGAGATGAAGAGACAAGCAAGTGGAGATAATAAGACTGAAAGGTAGATAAAGAGAAAGGTAGAGATGAAGAGACAGATGGGCTTAATGGAAAGGAAGAGAGAAGATAAAGAGATATGCGAGTGAGTTGAAGAGCCAGAAGAGAGAGAGTAAAGAGACGGGGAGGGGGAGATAAAGAGACAGAGAGGGGGAAATAAAGAGACAGAGAGGTAAAGATATGAGTAGGGAAGGAAGAGATAGAGAAGAGATGAGTAAAACAATGAAGTAGGTGGAGAGGTGAAAGGCGGTAAATAGGCATGCAAGGGAGATGAAGAGACAATTAGGAGATGAAGAGATGGGATGGATAAAAGAAAGATATGTCTGGAATAAATATATAGCAAGGGGGATAAAGATACAGGAAGAGGGGGATAAAGATACAAAAAATATAGTAAAATAAGAAGATATAGAAATGAGTATGAATTTAACATCTCAGCACAATACAGAGAAACACGTTGTATAGTTAATGTGCCTATGGATGTAGAGAACATAAATATTGTATTCCATTTTTTTTAGACCTGCTCACTGGTGTAAGCAAAAAATGAGGGGAATGAAATTATAAATGAAATAACCAAGTGCAGCATTTCTTTTTAACTCCAGAATTTGTAAAACACATTCGGAATACTGATGGGCTCACCCTTCACTTCTAATGGCCCAGTCCTTCTCTCTATTGGCAGCTCCAGGCTTGGATGTCCCACTCTGCAGATGAATTCTATTCTTTGCTCAGAGCCCTTTGATGGAGTAAAGTCTAGACATGCTGTACAGCTGTATCTGCCATCTGGCTGCTTCTCATATATGATATTCGGGATCTGGTAGTTTCGGTGGGAATATAAAGTTTCTTGTCTCCCGTTTCCACTCTCCTGTTTAAGCCAGGTCACAGTCAGATCCTCAGAGTACAATCGAGAGATTTTACACTGCAGCTTGGCCGTCTTGTTCCAAAATAATTTATCTTGTACAATTATTTCTTCCACTTCTATGAAAAGCTCTAAAATTGAATTCAAACAAAATGTAATTTCAATTATCAAATTATTATTTCTGTTGGTTTAGTCCACTCTAAACAAGTGTACCAAAAATATCTCACTAATCTTTCTTCAGTAAAATAAAATATATAGTAATGAGTTAATTAATGTCATATATGGTTTACACCGTCTGTCCACTGTAGCTTCTCACTTTCCCATTCTCTTCAATTCCTGGCTTCTACAGGTGTCTTAAATTATCTTTTAAAATCATCGAAAAGTATATTGATCTCCACTGGGGACTCTCCAATTGTTTTCCGGCTATTGTTTTTCTAAGATGGTCTGATAATAAATCTGGTTATAAGGGTACTAGAGACTCCCATTATGTATTTAATTGATCATTGGTGTGAGCGAGTTATACCATTGATAAATCAAGAGACAAAACGAATCCTTTATCATGTGAATGTCAATCATGCCATAATATTATTTGTCTCTTTATAAATCATTTTAAATTTGGTGTTCTTTTCTGAGAAGAATCAACAGTTTAATAAATATGAACAGGTTACAGACCAAGAGTAAAGGACACTTTTCAGATTACTTTTGATAAAGCTCTCCGATTGATTAATATCTGCATTTATTAATTTACAATAGTCCCTGGATATTACTTTGACATCTGAACACAATAGACACCAATTTAGTTCAATGTATTTATAACTTACCTACTCACAACTGATATAAAACAATAAATCAATATATAATACACAGTCTGAGTACCAATGGACTCACCTTTCACATATTCAATCCGTCTCTCTATTGGTTGCTCCAGGCTGGCATGTTCCACTCTGCAGATGAATTCTATCGGTTGCTCTGAGCTCAGTGATTGGCTGATAATCAGACATGCTGTACAGCTGTACGTGTTATCCTCCTGTATCTCATGTCTGAGGTCCGGGATATCATAAATCTCACTGGGATTTAATGTAACTGCTTGGAGATCCCCTCGCTCCTGTTTATACCAGGTCACAGTCAGACTATGCGGGTTATCGTATTGCGAGATCTTGCACTCCAGCTTCACCTTCTGGGACCAAGGTAATTGATTGGATACTATTATTTCTTCAACATGTGGGCGAGATCCTGCAATTGTGTTCAAGAAAAATTCTATTTAAATAATCAAAACATATATAACAGATTTCTTACTACAAATTTTGTCCCAATGCACAAAAGTATGAATAGATTATTAAAGCACCAATAATGTGGAAACGGCAGGCTCAGTATTGTGTTGAAGCACAGTGCTGAGCACACCAGGGTCTGTGCGGGGGGGGAGACACTGCCAGAGCAGGAAATTAGCTTTTAGGAGCCTGACGTGCAGAGTCTCTCTCTCATTTTATATATATATATATATATATATATATATATATATATATATATATATATATATCTAAAAGAGTATTTGAATACTGAAGATCAGTGATACAGGATTTAAAAAAGTAGAAGTGTATCTATTTCAATTTATTTCTATGTTTTTTTTCCCTTCCCCTCCATTTTTTTGTGTTAAAATACTGGATATCAGAATCGCTCTTTTTTTCATTGTTACTTTTCATTTACATCACATTTGATCACTTCCACTATGCGTTTTATTACTAAGTTGTCAAACTTTCAAAATTAATTTAAAAAAAAATAACATTATAAATTAAATAAGAAAGGCGAAATGGCCATATGAATTATGCAATAAGTATATTAGTTACACCTTACCTATTACGAGCGTCTTTACGTCCGAAGAAGGATTGTTTTTGTTAGTTTGCCCTATAAAAACAAATGAAAATAGCAGATAAAAAGAGCTGATTGTGATGATTTTTGCCTGACTCCACATTGTCCTTTCCATTGACTTTCTATGTAGGAAGGGATGTTTTTAGCCTGGTTACAAAGTAACAGATTCGCTAGACCCAACTTATTAAAGGTTTATTTCCGTTTTATGGTATTAATCTCAAACGTTTTTATGTATTTTTCATACAAAAAAAAAGCATTTGCTTCAATTAATAATGAAATACACTGATTAAATAATTACATTTAAATGCAAAATAGGTAAAAAATAAATGTTTTAGTATTTAGAATGAATAGAGACTCAATGTGTACTTACTGTGCATCCTGCATTTGCGATATACGAATATACCCGCTACAGATACCAGGATCAGCGACACAGTGACACCAACAGCAACACATATTAACATTGTGTTCGTTTTACCTGTAGGAAAGTGTGATATTTTTATTTGTATAAACTTATATAGAGATGGAAATAAAGAATAAATATTCAGCTAGGTTTTGTTTGGTGACCAGGTCTAGGCTGGCATATCATGCGATGGCCCCCCACTGATCAGGATGTTTACTCTAGGCAGCGTACGTTCCCACACACCTTCATACTTGTGATCTGTGGCGTGGACTTTTTGCTACATTTTTTTTATATGTATATTAAAGATTTAGCAATTGCCATCTCAATCTAGTTCAGTCCTGGCACCGCCAAGGCACACATTGAAATGTTTGAGGATAAAAATAAAAATTGTTTCTCCCTCTCTCTATAACTTCCCCCTGCGGACTGCCATGTGTAAGAGATAGCATTTCTAACAATGATTTACAGTGAGCCAAGATGGAGGCACTCCTGACAGAGTTTTTAAACCGTATAAAATATATATTTGTAAAATATATGGAATGAACATAATATTAAAAATCTTGTGGAGTTCTGACTCTCCTTCATGACAAAAAATGTACAGAGCTGTGCTTTCACATTTTATCTCATTTTACAGTTTTCTTTTATTCACTTACAATACCTTGCTATGTACTAAAATAGTACTCTAAATTTAATTAGAAATTTATAAATAAAATATGCTGAAAAAATTATTTTGTAATCATTTAGTAGTCAATATAAAATATACCTATTAATAAATAGAGACTAAATGCAGACTTGTGGAACTTGATGGACTTGAGTCCTTTTCAACTCTTGTTACTATAGTTACCTATACTTTTATATTCCAGCGGGAAGTATTTGTAGCGAGGTCCAGAGAGAGACTCATGCTGGACCCTGAAGGAGAAGGTCCGGGTTTTGTCCTCCTCAGTGGGTATTATGGTTACAGTAGTGTTTACACTGAACGTGCCACGTTGGTTCTTCTGGGGTGTGGATACAGTATAATTATTGAGGGTTTCCCCTTCCCTGAACCATTTAATGTCGATGTCCACAGGGTAGAATCCGGTGATGGAGCTGCTCAGAATACTCTCCTTATTTATAACCGCCAATCTCCCTGTGATAGTGATCTCCGGAGGAGCTGGAATGGAATACAATAAGATCAAGGATAATTTATTCCCTTACATAGTCTACATCTCACTAAACTTGACCTCTCATAGCTTCTTCTAACCTTAGTGAGCCTTCTTACTCTATTGCCATTGTATATTTGTATAATTATTTTTTTCTAGTAATAAATTCTACACCTGGCAATCTAACTTCTAACCTTCTTGATTTAATACACTTTACATTTTGTATAATTATATCACACTTTAGTATATCTTTGAGATGTCTTCTCAGGCATGCCAGAAAATATCTCTTAAAAAGACAACACAAGTGTGTCTCTGAGAGCACTCGGGTCTGCTTAATAACACCTGTAGGCAGAGGAGAACTGGCAAGGGGGCAATTGAAACCCAGGCCTCTAGAATCGTGGGGATGCTGCCTCACAGCACTACAATAAAGTATACTATGTAAGTGTATTGTTTAGATAATAATGTATTCTAGTATTATACAACTGTCATTATACATTTACAAAGGGGGGTGGGAGTTACAGGTTTTGTCTTAAATTAGGCTAATTGTATTTGCCCCTCATGCCAAATGTAGCCAGTACTTACCACCCTCAAGTAAACCAGAGCAATTCTTCTCCATATCAGTGATATCTTACCAATGCATGATGTATATTATTGGCATACCCCATCCCAAATTCATTTGAGCAAGAATTGGGAGCTTTTCTTCCTTTTGTAAAAATTCCTAAATTTTAGATGCGTTTGATTTTGAGTGATGTTAATGGATGACAATAACTAACATAAGTTATTTTCCTTTTGGAGTTTCCATGGAACACAATCGATGAACTTCTAAATGACAATACAAAGTTTTGGTATATTGTTAGTTGGGTAGGGGGCTTTGAAATGCTGTATTCCTAGGACCACAGTCAGATATGCATCTAAGGTTTGGGGTTTGAAAGAGAAATAACTTATAAGGTAATTTAGAGGAATAAATAGAATTACTTACCGTTGGATAGAGGACACCAGAATGGAACAATAGGACCTCTTCCTTGAAGGTCCACACCATCAGATGTTGACTATTTACCTTCATTTAACTATTCTCAATTGCTTCTCTCAACTGACTGTATTCATGACAAATAAAGCTGATGTTTTTATTTTAAAAATCCCCATAAGTCTAACTGTGATATATTTTGAATGACATAAATAATATCTGTCTTCTTACCTTGAACAAACAAGCTGACTTCCTTCTCCTTCCTTTCTGGACTGTAAAGTATCGAACAATTATAGATTCCACCATCAGATACTCTTACTCCAGAAATAGACAGAGAGGCGTCCCCAGTCAGTGCTCTGGCTGTATCTATAGAAAATGCAGGATTGTTGGATGTCACAATATTATTATAGTTCAAAATCTCCTTTCCCTGAAAGTACCAAAATACTGCAAATAATTTGGGATCCACAGGAGGTTCTTCCACTGTGAACATACAGGGAATCAGGGTGTCAGATCCCATTCTAGCTCGATGACTTGAGGGAACATTCAGCTCCAGAGCAGCAACTGCAAAATATATAAACTAATTAGTAATATGGGCGATAATTTCAAAATGTGATGTTAAATTTGTTTATATCTTTTCAAATAGAGAGTCACCAAGTGTTTGAGTAAGACAATAGAAATGACAAATTAAATGTATATTAAATAGGGCTACACCAAAATGCTCAATATAAATATTTTCCATTTTTAATAGGCTATTTTTTAAATGTTCAATTGATCAGTATTAAGGTTTCTCCACTATATTATTAAGCTAACATTATCAAGATGTAGTTCCCAATGATGCTATCAGGATAACCCATTTAAAGTCATTCTCTGTTTCCATTTAAATTTATATTGAATATTTATAGAGAAGTGACATAACAATCTAACCAGTCCTGGCACAGTCAGGGCACACATTATAATGGAAGAATAGAAATAGAAACGTTGTTTCTGCGTGTACTCCTCTCTATGCGATTTTTTTCATGCTGACTGACAGGTGTAAAAAGTCAGAGCGTATAGAAGGGATTAATAGAGAGCCGAGATAGGGCTCAAATGTTCAGGATAGAATGGTATTTCTACATTAAATTCATTTTTTTTTTCAGATCTCACAAACACCTAGATTCACTAATCGGCACAGGGACTTAAAGGGACACTGTAGGCACCCAGGCCATTTCAGCTTATTGAAGTAGTCTGGGAGCTGTGCAAATGTTTACATTGCAGCTCTAAGTCTGCCCTCAGTGGCTGTCTAACAGGACTTTTGGTCCGTTATCTGATGCTGGATGTCCTCATGGACCTCCAGTGTCAGATTTTCCCTGTAGGACAGCATTGAATAATAATGCGCATTAGGTCTTCCCCGCCGGGGAGGAGCGTGGGCGGAGCCTGACCCAGCACCGAGGGACATCAGCGCTGGATTCTGGTAAGTAGCTGAAAGGGCTTTAACCCCTTCAGCAACATGGGATGGTGGCGGAAGAGAGGGGGCACTCCACGATTCTCTAGTGCTGGGAAAATGGGTTTGTTTTCCTGGTACTGGAGAATCCCTTTAATTTGGAAAGGTTCTAAAAGTTAAAATTAACACATGTAAATTATACATAGGCAGCATGTTAGCATAATAAAACACAAACCAGAGTTTACCATATATATATATATATAGTGACAATGGGTGTATGGTCTCAACAGACAATCACTTCCAGTAAAATTAACAAATTCATACAGTAAATATAATTACACCCAGAGAACCCAGGAGATGCCCATTTCAACCATAAATAATAATGAATAGGACTGATCATTAAATCGGATTCTAAGCATAACTGATTTTAGTGATTGTGCAGCCTTTTACACCTGTTAGTAAATTGACGCCATATTTGTTAAACATAAGGGTTAAGTAAACAGAATATTACAAATCTGAAGAAGTGATATTTACCCTTTAAATCATATTTATATAAACAAAGCCTTAGATAAAGTGGCAGCTACTGGGAAGATTAATTTAGTAATAGTTAAATTATTGCAAAATAAATATGGAGCCACTTAAAGGTCAGATTGCCATGTCCTGGACAAACATGATAGTACAACAAAATTCAGAAGAGGATTAATTAAATTGGGAAGAATTTCAGAACTGTGAAAATATAAAAATGGTAACATCTAAAATTAATATAGTATCAATGTTTATTAAAGTAATACTCCAAGCACCATGACCACTACAGCTTGATGTAGTGGTTATGGTGCCAGGACCTCCTTGCCTCTATCCATTTAAAAACTATTAAGCCACTTACAATGGGGTATTTTAAAGGAATTCTCCAAGTAACATAACCATTACACCGTGTTAATAATAGTAACAAAACATAACAGATATCTGCTCCTATAAACTCTACAAAAAAAAAAAAACCCTCAAATTTATCTCACTTTATCAAACTCTCTATAGTGCAGTGTAATTTGATGTTGCAGCCAGTAGAGGTCAGTATTTGACTTACAATGCGACAGTAATGCTGGTTAAAGAGATGTGCCTGAAGGATCTATTAATAAGATTCTCAATATAGCCTCCCTGATCTCAAATTGCTAAATCAAGACTACCTCACCCACACTGGAGAAAAAAAAAAAAAAAAAGAGGTAAAGCTGGCTAAAAAGTGTAACTGCCTTGACTTACCTTAATTACCAAACTGAAAGTAAATTAGTTCTTTGACTCCTTATATGGAGAGAACACTGCTAGAATTCTGTCTTAGATAAATCACTGGGCAGGAGAGAGATAGAGAACTAGAAGGACATAAACGGTCTCTCTTAGAGATGGATTCCAATCAGCAATATTCTGTGTCTACTCAATCCAAGAACCGCACATTTTATATAATCCGCAAAAAGTTCTGGAATTCTTTATCTCCCTATACAAACCTGTCTTCTGCTATTATAAACTGCAAGTAACAGAGTAACAGAAATAGTAAAACTCCCGGTATACCCACCCTATAGCCTGCATTGGGCAAAATAATCCGAAAATAATATGAACTAACAGACCTGACTGCAGAATGAGAAGTGATAAAAGTATTCGTTCCAGTCCTCGCTCCATCTCTAAACGGTTCTTTAACGAGAGTTAAACTTTACTTTCACTTTCGAAATCTTGTTTCTTGGCAGAGGCAGCTGTCCTCACGTATCACACTGTCTGAATAGACCTTACTGTTATTAAAGGACAAGATACATTTTAATTTAACATGACTAATTAAATAAGTAAAATAATATACTCAGAACATGATTGGCCATTTGTCGCACTGCACTGATTTTAGCAGCAGCTCAGTTACAAAAATAGTTTAAGGATATTAAGAATTCCGAGCAATGCATACATTTATTTATTTACCTTGTAAAAAATTTGACCTTAAATTTGACATTTTAATTTACAAAAAAATAATTAATTGCTTTGCAAGTCAATGAGTGAAATAAGTATTTGACCCCCTTCGACTTAGTACTTGGTGGCAAAACCCTTGTTGGCAATCCCAGAGGTCAGACGTTTCTTGTAGCTGGCCACCAGGTTTGCACACATCTCAGGAGAGATTTTGTCCCACTTCTCTTTGCAGCTCCTCTCCAAGTTATTAAGGTTTTCGAGACTGACGTTTAGCTACTCAAACCTTCAGCTCCCTCTATAGATTTTCGATGGGATTAAGGTCTGGAGACTGGCTAGGCCACTCCAAGATCTTAATGTGCTTCTTCTTAAACCACTCCTTTGTTGCCTTGGCTGTGTGTTTTGGGTCACTGTCATGCTGGAATACCCATCCACGACCCATTTTCAATACCCTGGCTGAGGGAAAGAGGTTCTAACCCAAGGCAGGTGCTCTGGGCAATTGTTGCCACTTGAGTTTAGCTCCACTCAGCTAACCAAACCAGAAAGTAACCGGGCCAGTTATCTGAATGACAGCCAGGGGGATGTAACCACGTTCATTAATAAAAATGCCAATTTCTAATAAAATCTGCAGTTTTTGTAAAATGAAAAAAAGAGGACACACTGTTCACACATAAAGCATTTCAGCAAGCTAAACTGATTTAGGGGTCCAGAGCATCCCTTTAAAGTTAAGAATACACAATCCCATAATATGGGATGCCCCACTGGGAATCATGTGTACATTATTCCCGTAGTGAAGCGGTTACTACATGGAGCAATAATACAGAGCAGAGTATCCGATAGCTGCTGGTCTCACCCCTCACCCTTCCCTGTTCTGACCTTCCACCTGGAACTTCCTCTCTCCTGCTCCTCGCAGTCCTCTTCTTCTCCCTAGAACCTCCTGGAGCAGAGAGACTGTGCAGGGGGGTAACGAGGCAGCAACATGGCTCCTGCACTGCCTGAGAAGAGTTTGGGAATGAAATTAGACAGTCCAGCTCAGGCCTTTATGTGTCTGAGGCCCAGAGATTTCCTGTCTGAGGGTAGTGTGTGTTTACAGCTACCTGCTGACACTGCCAAAATATATATTTACACACACATATTACATGGGCATAATTTACTAATAGACACATGGCAGGACATAAATCTACATAGAAGCACCATGACAACACACACACACACAATAACTTAATCCAAACTTTAGCTCCCACACACCCCTGCATTCGAACATCTATTGAACCTTCACACTAACCCTCAACATATATACGTCTATGTATTCACACACACAAATGAGACAATAGCGAAGTGTAATAGGGACAATAAGTAGTTAAGGACCCTGAGGTGGGCTATAAAAACACAATAGGAAGGGTGTATGTATATATATGTATATGTGTGTGTGTATAATTACACACACAATTGCACATATTATATATACTTTCTATATGTGAAGGGTGTGTGTGAAAGCAAGGGTGTAAGTGTGTGGAGAGTCAGTGTGTATGTGAGTGTGTGAAAATTATGAAAATGTTACATGTTGTAGTGGTTATTATGACAGTATTAATCTGGCAACTCTCCACACACACATACGTAAAAGTTCTAAAATGGTTTGCTTTCTTACCTGGGGTCTAATGGGCACCACTCCCCACCTCCAGCATGTCCTATGAAAAGTCAGAAGGTCTCTGAGCTAAACCGTGCATTGCAGGACTTAATTGGCTGAGAGCAATACACTGATGCACAGAAGCATAAATGGTTGTGAACACCATGATGGACAGCATTTCCTTCAAAATATAAACTACGATATCCTAATACTTAACTCACCGATGGTTAGGGCGTGAACAAGATGGAGGAGAAGATTTAAATGTTCATAACATTTATGTTATTTTATGGATTTGATGGCACTGATAAAAAACGAAAAGGAGAATTTTAAATTTTAACTATAGGACATGTCATCAATTATAAATGGATAGTTCCCACTACTGGTCTCCAAAAGCTAAACCTAATGTGAGAAAGAGATATTAAAGATAAAATATTAACTATTGCACAGAACAAGACAATATAGTGTTATGCTCCAAATGGATGAGTTTAATAGAACCATTTATTAGACAGTATTGGGAGGAAGGAATATGTGAAATGCA